ACGAAAAACAAAAACCCATTTCTTCAAATAAGCCTCTCATCATTTACTTACTATTACGAATATGATTATCTTCTTTGAAAATTAAGCTGGGGTGACTGGTATTGTATTCATTTTACATTTCTCGATCCTTATATGTTGTCTAAGTTATGTATAGGAAACTATTGTTGCTACTTTTTCATTCCTATCATTGTGTAGTTGACCAAAAGCTTTCTATTTGATCAGATAAAAGAATTACACCAAAGGCAGCAAATGACGTGAAATTAATAAGTGCTGGCAAAATTTTGGAAAATAACAAGACTGTTGCCCAGTGCAAGATGCCATTTGGAGAGCTACCGAATGGAGTTATAACCATGCATGCTGTCGTACAGCCATCTTTAGCAAAAGCAAAGACAGGTAACCCGTTGACTTTTCAGGGGTCATTGTACTCCAGACCTGCTCACATAGAGTCATAGCCTCAATTACTCTTTTGATACTCTTTATCTTCTACCAAGTGTTTATCGGCTAGGCTTTCAGAATGGAGATATCCTTCTTGATTTTGTAATTGTTCATTGATTAGAAAAAAAAAAAAAAAAAGGGGGCAAAGTTGCTTTCTTCTGTGTTTGGCGAGAATGTTTAGTATCAGTGTAGTTGCTGAAATTGTTTGGGATGGTTGTGCTGATCGCACCACAGAGTTGGAGTTATGATCATGTCGTGAATATAATAACAAACTTCTCGATTATAAATAGTGGACATGAGATAACTCGTCTGAAGGTTCATAGAAAGTTTTGGGATTAGATATAAGGATTTGTAGAATATTTGGAATGCGATGAAACAGGGCCGTAAAATTGGGATGGGGATTCTTGAAAGTAGATATCTTATGATTAGGCTATTTAGAGAAGTGTAAATCTTGACTTCTGTTGTATGTACTACTGCATGTTTGTGTGGTGTGTAAATTCCATTCATTATGATATTTATTTGTCTGATAAGATGCTTAATCATTTTTCTGTTTCGACTCCATCTAGCTGAATATTACTATTGTGTTTACAGAGAAGAAGGTCGACGAGGCTCCAAAAAAGAGCATCTGTTCGTGTTCCATATTGTGAGAGTGTAATCTTGATTCGGCACTTATCTTCTGGATCGTCAGATTGTGAAGTCCGAAAAGACAATAATTTGTAAACAGTACAATACTCATTAATGTTCCCTGTATGTTTGAGGCAATTTCTGTGTTTGTCATCATGTATGTGCTTTTCCTATAAATTTGTTGTTTCTTGTATATTTGTAGCTGCAGATTATTTATATACTACGAGAACACAACACATCTGTGGGGGATCTCTATTACCCTCGAAAACGTTTTACAGTGGCTGGGATTTCTGGTGAATACAAAGTATTTTATTAGCTTCAATTTTCTTATGTACGTTTGCGTAAGTATATATTATACACGTAGTAGACTGCAGCCAAGTTGGAGAAGGAAGTAGTTTAGAACACCGCGACATGTGGTGCATAGTTACATAGCTTCCCATGATTTACTGCTTGTGTTAAATAAAGTCCTTGGCTGTGAATTTTGATGAAAAATTAATAAGTTTATAAATTCTAGTGAGGTAATTTCGATTATTCTATTTTCTTACTGGCAGATGTTGATTCAGACTTATCAGCATTCTGCTCCAGCTGCTGGGTAAACCTAACCGGTTACTTTGATTCACCGGTAAACTTTTTTATTATCCGTGCTGCTAATTACGATATTATTAGTTAAAATGGCCCTGTCGTTATTTATTTATTACATAATCGAAATCTATATTTCACGGGGAAGTTGATCAATTGGTAGTCCCGTATATGTTTCCACACTAGCGATGCGATGAGTAATTCTGTAGTCAAATATAGACATCAACGACAAAAGTCACGAGCCATCTGTAGTGTATAAACACACAATAAACAAATGATAAAAGATTATTATTATTAAGCCAATCAATGTTTGACCTAATCCTAAGGTCCCATTCAAGATAAACAAAACAAGATTAATAACTCTTGTCTCCCTTTCCTCTTTTGTCCTGTCTTTTAACTTTATATGGCTTATGTGTGCTTAGATTAGATTAAAACAATCATGAATAATCTAATCAACTGATACTGAAACACAAACACGTATGCATGGCATATAAGCATTAGCATCGCCATGCAGAAGCAGCTAGAATAGATCTATCTTGCCACCCCAAAAGCAAACAACCCCTGTCTTCTGTCAACCTGTACCCATCACAAGAATAAAGTCCCAGCAGTATTTTTGACTGAGTCACTGCATTTGAACTCAGTGGCACCCCTTGGAATCCTTTCCCTTCCATTATTTTCCTCCATTTTTCGAGCCTTTCATGCCTCATCACTCTCTCAGGCCCCTCATGTGCTACAATATTTTTAATCTCCGGTGCAAAAATATTCTGCTCCACTTTTGTCCTCTGTTCAGATTCAGATGGAAAAGTAGCATCCAACGAGTCGAAAATAGCCGAATAATAGTGCAAGGCCTCAAGAAATCGTCCTAGGAAATACGGCCCATTGTGACTTGCTTCTTGTTCAACTATGGTCACTATGTTCGGTGCTTGATCCCTAATCATAGTTAACAGGTTTCCAAGAGCATTCCCTGGTACCCGGTGAAGTCTGTTAACCGAGTTGACAGCCAAAGCCTCACCCACCCTTCTGTTGAACATGTGGGGTTTTAGATCTTCAAGTTCTTCACCAACAGGATGGAATTCAAAAGGTACGTGGAGAGAATGAGCCAGCTCACTCAAACATCTCCCAGTTTCTCTTACAGACTCAGGAGAAGGGCCCACACCAGTGATTCGAAGAAACGGGGCCCCACCAGGCCTTGCAGCTAGGGCTTGCATGAAAGCAGGCCATTGATAGCCTTGTAGGATATCAAGATCGATGACGTGGACACGTCCCTCAGATTCAAATGCCTCGAAAATGGCTTGGTTGGCAGTGAAGTGAGCAAATTTAATGTAGGGACAGGCCTGGTACAGGATCTGATAAATCTTGAGGATTTCTAGGTTGTCGGGAGGGAAAGGGTTGAAAGGAATGAGCTTGGAGGTGCTAGGTTTATTCGTGAGTGTTGCAGCTAATCTTGCAGTGAGGGCTTCGGTGAAGCAAGCTGCAACACGCTGCATCGAGTCGCCATCGGTGGAGACCACTCGATTTAGGTGGTGGAGGTATTTTCTTGCTAGCATGTAATCCTCCTTGGAAACTGCTTCTGCACAAGCCAAAAGAAGATGCACCAGCTGTAGTCCACAATCTTGCTCCTGTACATATATCATGTATGTTCAGATGAGAAAATAAAAAAGGTTATTATTTGAGAATTAAATATTTTTTTTGGGTAAATTTTTGACGTGCTATTAAAGTTACGAGTCACCTGTTCAGGTTGGGGAATTGGGACCGTCAACGTATTGTGCATTGTCTGAATCTGGTTTTGCTGATGAAATTGTGGTTGTTGTTGTTGTTGAGGTTGTCTATGCTGCTGCTCCTGTTGCCTTTCTTGTTGCAATTGTTGGGATAATGGTTGAGGTGCAATAGAAACTCCCACATCATAAATACCACTCTCTTGTGAACTTACCTGAACAGAATTACTACTATCACTAAACCTGGTGGAATCAGGCATGGTGAGACACTCCAGTAGCTCAGGCATGACATCATAGCAATCGCCAGCTATCTTCATCGGAGAAAACGACACGAAATGTTCACCAGCATTGCCTTTACAATCATAACTAGTGTCATCATCCAATAGGCTCTCGAGGGCAGGCAAAGAAAGGCTCTCGATTTGATCCACCTGCATGAACTGATTCCCCGGCGAGTTGAAAACCCTGTTGAGAGGGCTCAACCCCTTCCCCCTGTGGGGCCCGAGAGGGGACGGGAATCGAGGTGGGGACCCCACAAGAGCATGCATTGCGGGAGGAAAGCGAGGGGGAGACCCCACAAGGGCTGGCAGAGACGGAGCATAGCCGCCACAGTTGTTGTAGATGTTGTAGTTTGGTGAGAGCATGTTGTTGTTCATCAGCGGGGAGCACATCATGAAATCACCGTCTAAAAGGTGATCGGTGAAGATGGATTCCCACATTGAATAATCTGGGGAATGGATTTCGATATCTCCATTTTGTTCTTCGAATTTGAGAGCAGCAGATGGAATAGAGAGATTTGTGGGGATCAAGTTGGATAGGCTTGCAACCGGGGTTAAGCTGCTGCTGGTTATGGTGCTTGTTTCGAAATCTGATGACGAAGAACAAATGTTCGTCTTGCCAGGTGAGGTGGGCTCCTCTTTTGTGCAGCATGAATTCTCACTTTTTACACCACCCCCCACTGATATTTTCAGGTTTCCCATCTCAGTTTTGATGCTCCTCATGCTGCTCTATAAATATAAACTAATAAACATCAAATTTTAACAAATGTATGTTCATACAATGGAATGGACCCATTTTTTTTTTAAATTTTTTGATTTTTCCCCCTACTTTTTCTTGTTTAAGAATTGAGAAATTTGAAAGTGGTGAAATGTGTTTCCATCTCTTTTTATACTCTAGGAAGTTTATCTTTTTTTTTTTTTTTAATTTTTTTAAATCACAGATGATCCAATGGAGTAGAAAGAGAAAGGGAAGTGGGGACAAAACAAGTTCTCAATCCAAGCAATATGATTGGAGGTTAGTGAATTAAGCATTTTATCCCAAGATTTTTGTTAACTTTTCTAAATAATAATTTGAATAATAAATTAATAAGAACAAGAATACTATGTGTATGGGCAACAAGAAGTTTTGCCTTGTCACAGTCTGGAGAGGTGGGGCCTATCTTCTTTGGGCCGGCCCACTTGCAACAAGAGAATAGAATCATCGCCAATAATTATAACTCAAATTGTGATGCACACATACTGATACACGCATAGATGTGGGGTTAATTATGATAACTACTGGATATAAATTTATATGGATTATTCTGAAGAGTAACTAATGAATAAGTGTTCCCCTTAAGTCTTAGTTAAAATGGTTAATCCATGTATTAAAATTAGATCAGAGTTAGCTAGGTTGTAGAATATCCACTCTACTCTAAAAGAGTCAAGCAAAAAGAGTTGTGAAAGGAAAAAAACAATTAAGATTGTAATAATAATTGATGACAAAGAAATGGACATACATGCATTGAAGAGATCGCCGCCTAATCTTTGGATTTGGCAAAGGATTGAAGCTCTTGTCTTTCTCCTCCATCTCTTCTATTCTCTACTCTAATCTAATCATCCCATTTTACTCTTAATTAATCTATCTAATCCAATCCAATCAAACTTAGTTTCATGATTATATAGTAGCGCCAAAATTAATGTTTCGTTTTCAAGCAAGAATTATAAGTTTGATTGGGGATTTGTCCCTACATTTAACTTTTAGTTTGATTGCCGGATGACATCCATTTAATTATTATGTTTGATTGGTTCTACCAATTTGGGAAAACTGTGAATTAAGAGCGTGTAATGACGTTTTAGGTGGGATAAAACAGAAACTAATTTGGAGGCTAATTACAACAACCACCTTAGAGAAAAATATATATGTTAATGTTATTGATTTTTGTAAACCAGATGGGCTCTGTTAATATGAGTCCACTGGGCTCTGATAAAGACAGATTGATTTCAAAACAATTAATGATTCCGTTCAATCAAACAACAACATTCAATTATTATTAGTTTGTCTGATTCTGATATTAATTGGATCGTACGTTTTATTGCAAATGGGCTGACACTTGAATTACTATAATTCTACTACATTGTCCAACATTTGTCGGTGACCCACAAAATTCATTGTATGTAGACATAAATGCACACTTGTAATCAATTCTCTCACAACAAGCATCAACTCAACTCACATGATATGATTTTCCATGTACAATTAGTGTATGTGTATAACTTTGAGGCAAAATTTTGTTTGTTTCATATCATCCATCCAATTTTGCCATCATTACTCATAAATTATTTCGTATATTTTTTCTACCAAACAAAATAAATAATTAATGGATTAGATTAGAGTATTTATTATTTATTTTATATTTAAAAACCATCATAATAATCTCTCTCTCTCTCTCTCTCTCTCTCTCTCTCTCTCTCTCTCCACACACACACACGTATATGTTGTATAATATGCCAAATGAAATTCACATGCTTTTGTTTCACATGCATTGAAAAAAGTTGCATCCAACTCTTAGCTAAGAATAAGATTGCTACTTAGCTGCTACTACTCAAACACAACTGGCATTCATTATCCACACACACACACACACACGAGAAAACACTGAACTCATGAACTGCATATCATATCTATGTAGTACACAAGACACTCCATATTCATATAGGCTCCTAGTTTAGCTATCCAGAAAACAAATTAAAAAAACCTTATGAGGAATTAAATAAATTTTCTCTTGTTGGATTCCAATTCTCTAGCTATCTGGCTCCAATGGGCTCAGTACTCTTTTTCTTTGTATTATCATTCTTGTTGACTCAGTCTTCATCCTTTCTCCGAGTCGTTGAGTCATCTAAACATTCAATCTCCAACCCCCAAATCACTGTCATGGGCATGGTCTACTGTGATTTCTGCTCCAACAACTCCTTCTCCAGGCACAGCTATTTCTTGCCAGGTTCATTTTTATTACACTCTCTTGGTTTTTTTTTTTAAATATGAAATTACCGATCTCTTGCAAGTTGTAACTGGTGTTGTGTGTGTGTGTGTTGGGGGCATTAATGTAATTTCACACACTTGTCTGAAGCAGGTGTTGATGTTAGAATAGATTGCATGTTCAAAGCAATCTCTCCAAGAACAACTGAACAGATATCATTTTCAGTAAACAGAACAACAAATAAGTATGGTATTTACAAATTGGAGGTACCCTCTGTTGATGGTGTTCAATGTGCTAGAGACAAAGCTGTGGGAAGTTCCTGCAGGGCAATCCTTCTCTCTACCCCTTCGTCTTCGTTGTGTAATATCCCTTCTTTTCGGACTACATCCGATCAGATTTCGGTCAAATCGAAACAAACCAATTCGTGCTTTTACAGCCTCGGCGCGTTGAGTTATAGGCCATCCAGAAGAAACACTTCCTTGTGTGGTAACAAATAATTAAAATATAATAATATTAATAATAATAAATGTTGTGCTCATTTATAGTGTTGTGATCTAGCTACTTGAGCATTATCTTGTTGTAATAGATAGCAATTTTTCAACTCTTGAAGCTTTAGTGTTTTACTTGTTTTGATCTATCCTTCATGTAAGATTATGATATGTCATATATATGTATAAATTTTTAAGGAGATTTTTATTTTTACTAACAATCCTCACTTTAGAAATGAGAAGATGTGACAACAAGTGTATGAACTATTGTTCATTGGTTAAAAAGTAGTAGTAGTACAAATCAAGATAAAGGAAAGATGTTATACTTCTTGCAACAATTCTTGAAACTTGTTCATGGCAGAAACTGGCAAACCTACAAGCACAGTTACACCTTTTCTATCTTTCCCATTAGACAAAAACAGTATAACTTCCTTCTCCGGTAATCCAACGGGCCCCGAAAAAAATGGCTCTCCCCATCCGAAATCCGTTGTATTAAACGATAATTGACACCATGTTGTGATTAGCAGAGTCGAATTAAGGGAAGGCCTTGCCCTTGTTGCCTCGAAATAGTCTATTGCAGATCTCATGTAACCGTCATTAACCGTTTTAATTGATTCTTGAACTAATCGAACCCCGTGTGAGAGTGGCTTCTCCAGTAGCTCCCCTGCTTTGCATATACAATTCGTCAAAACAATTGCGTTCCCAAAGTAGCCCTTCGGAAGTGGTGGCTTGAATTTGTTCCTCCCATCCACGGCAAACAATAGCTTTGTTTCTTGATCATCAGGGAAATTCAATGCCCTTGTTCTAGCCCTCCATACAAATGCAGAGAGCACTTCAAAACTAGTGCATTTTTTAAGAACAACCCTTTTATTGCCATCATCATTCATGGCTACTTTCTTTAATTTTTCGATTTTTTCTTGGTCGAAAACGAAGGATCCATATAGCAATTCATCACTATTGGGTGACAATACGTCTTGTATTTCAAGAAATTCACGGTGATCATACTCGATCTTAGGTGGACATCTGGCATTCAGAATGGTTCGATCAAGAAACGGGGGTTCGGCTAGCGGCAAACCTCTAGCCGTTGCCCCCCAAGCATTCACAAACTCCATTGCACTAACACCATCAAACATGCAATGGTTGACACATACTCCAAGTATAAACCCTCCACATTTGAACTTTGTCACCTAAAAAAATCAAACATACACGATCGAGTTTTCATCATCGTATAATTAATAAGATGAAAGAAGTGTATATAAAGATATTCTTGATTGATAATGACCTGAGCCACAAGAGGAGGTATCTGCAAAATGTTGTCCACACCAGGAATATCATAAACAAGTTTGCATAGAGTTGAATGATCAAGCTTCAACGTGTCGCCGAGTTGTCGAATAGCGCAGTTAGCCTCAGCCTCGACGAAAACGGCACCTTCTCCGGTGCAATCGACTATCAGCTTTCCGTCGGAGCTCAATTTCAGCCGCCCTGCCAGTGGATAATAGTGAACCAGGATATGCTGTAAAGATTCCTTGATGGTTTTGCATGCATTTTTATTATTGGAATTTTGGTCATCCGCGCCGGTGAAGCAGTAGACGGTTCGAACGATAACGGCTATATTTTGATCGAGATTTGAGAGAAAATAGAGTCCCTTTGGGGTTTCCTTTGCAGGAGGGACTAATGTGGGATGTCCTAATTCCACACTCAGCTCTAACACATTACTCTCCTCCATTATATTATTATATGTATGCCTTTGCTCTGCATGCATGCAATAATTTTTATTTTTAATTAATATATATAACTGAGTTAGATACAAAAATCAGAATAAAGGGAGAAACAAGCTTAGTAGAAAATTTATGTTAGAACGGTACCACAGTGAGAATGTTGATAGCAGCTTTGGATGAGATCTTGAAATGCTTTTCAAAACTATTATAACTCGAAAAAAGCAATGAGTAAGTGATGATGGTTGCTTATGTGTGTGTATATATATATATATATGTGTGTATGTATAAATGGTCAACTGGGCTTCATTAGCAGTGGAGTGAGATCACGCACTGGCATGGCAGGTGCCCAGAAATTGAAGGGAATGGGTTAATTTCTAATATATAATCTGGTATGGTATGGTACGTATATCTTAGGATGGGTCTCCTCTTTGGTGTGTGATTGTGTCGGTTGTTCCGTCACACGTGTGTAGCAGCATTCAATGTTCAAATTTTGGGATCGGACCCAAACTTAAACAAATTTGGCAGCCCAACTCTTGGAAATGTCCATACCAATTAAAATCCAGTCTAGACTCTAGACTCAATCCTCCTGATCTTGACCGCTCAGATTACTTCGTTTAATCAATCGTGGACGTCCACTCAATCACGTGCATGACACCAAAAGAACATTGTGTGTTGTCGGAGGAAGTGAAATTCGAAGGATACGGTAGCTGTAAAATTAAGGCAATATTACACAGATTTCCATGAACACTGTTTCACGTTAAATACAAAAGATCTAGTGTTGTCAGGTGCGGAAATTTCATGTCTAACAACAGTCAGATGGCCCTGTCATTTTTTGAAATTGTCAAAATTGAATCGTATTGGAGTGGTAAAATATCTTGTGTCAGCCTGATTCTATCGGATATGTTTTTTTCTTTAAATAAACACAGCCTGCTTCTTGTTTTCTCTTACAATTCTCATAATGGCTTTCATTTACTCCGCTCAATTATAAGATTGCTGGCCAACAACAATAATAATAGTAAGCAACATAAAACTGCACACATTTAATAACCCACAATCCAAATCTAGGCATCTATCTATTATACCACGGAAGGCCAATTAGCTAAGACCCAGTACAAAATTTACCCGGTTGGCCGGGCCAAATTGGCCCGTTCGAATACTTTATTGATAGACAGAAATGATCAAGATATAATCAGACGAGAAACTGTTAAAAGACATTACCTCGATTTGTTTAGCTATATGTGGATACTTACACCTTCTAATGCTCTCATTTAAAAATTATAAGTTCTGGCAGTAATCGGAAAAAAATGACGGAGCAAATCCTCATGCCTGGCCACACTTGCTTAAACAAGCAACTCCCTCTTCCAAATAATCTTGTCTGCTAATCCAAAACTCAGGAGCATCCTGCAATGCATTTTTACATGGTTTGAATATGAAACAGGACAGTCCCACTTAAATATGAGTTCATTTACATAAAGGCATTTCCACCGAGAGAACTTGTCAGCGGTAGAGATGAGAAAAGATTAACGCTCACTTCTTAATCAGCAAAAGTTCATTAAACTATCTGTCTTAAGTTAATTTTGGGACCAGAATTCCATAATTATGTGAAATGCCTGTACTTCTGTCGCCAGGCTACCTTCTACAGCTAGCCTCGATTTATTAAATTAAGAAAAAGTATTTTGAATGTCACATTAACATGACATTTGTGTATGTGTTGGCGGAAAGGGATAAAGAATATGCACCTTCATAATTCCTGCAAGAACTGCGCCTCCAAGATACACCATATGCTTCCTTCGTGGTGGATCCTCTATCCGCAGCCGTAGTTTCTATGTGGAACAAGACAAAGAATATCATTCATTTATAAACAAGACAAAGAAATAACGAGCAACAAGTAGGGAATGACTATGGATATGATTTGTTATGGACTCTGCTAAAGCTGAAGTGGGGTGGGGAGGAGAACTAAAGTATTCTAGTCCACAAGGATGTCACTAAATGAGCAGAACTAGTAGTATTTTACCTTCAATCCATCTTTATTTCCCTTCAGAACAACTTCAAGATAACGGTCCGATATTTCTTTCTCCAAGCTGGGGAAAGACGGTCAGATTAGCCAAGCAAAAATATGTTTGATAGAAACAAAGATATATACTCAGGCATATCTACAAGGAACCAGCAGAATCTGTACCCAAACTATAACTATTCATAACAAGAATAATCTTCTTAATTTCACAAATTACCCCACACTGACAAGTCCTAGAAATTTATTAGTAAACAGACTTTCTTGATAGACTAACCCTACATCGATAAACAAGATATTGTTTCATAAAACTGTATCAGGAATATTATATAGTACCGGCTAGGTAATCCAGGATACATTGTACTTCCACCACTCAGGACAATATGCTGGTACAGCTGCAAAACAGAGGATTCTAATTGCATGAACAACTGCAGAATGCCTAGATGAAGATTTTGCAGTTAGGAGAATTAGTACTAACCATCATCCTGTTATCAATATCCATCTCCTGAATGCAACGAAATACCATGTCAGCCATTCCATCTCCTTCAACATCTATCAGCTCCTGCATGAATTACAAGATGAAAGCAGTCATAAATTATGGATAAAGCAATACTTGAAGCTAAATGCAAAACAAGAATAATCTACATCCTACAAGACAGAGGAATAATTCTTCGACGTGAACTATATTTTAATAAATATATCATGAACAATTGTCCATTGTCCAACAATAATATAAGCTTCTAATATGATTATTCATCATCGCACCAAATTGGACCTTTTCAAAGACAAAGACAGAATTAGAGGTTCATTAACTTGCAATGTCCACTCAATTGTATTCACTTTGAAGTGGCAGAAAAATACTTACGGGAGTGAAAAGAGCTTCAGGTGCTTGAAACCGCTCATTGCCAACTTTAATGACCCTTCCATCTGGAAGCTATTTATCAAAGCCAACAATATCAATTATTATATCTATTGCAGCTGTCTGGGAAAAGGTCTGAATGTCCAGATACTCAACTTACAGTATAACTTTTTACAAGGATGGTAGTCTCAAGTCCCAACTGATACTCTCTTTTGTAATCATAACTGTGGCAAACTAATGTTAAACTTATATGTCAAGTCACAAGTAATTGAAAAATGTGAAGACAAGTTCACCTTATGTAACAGAGCTTCTCCTTGATATTCCTCACAGTCTCAAAGTCGGCAGTTTTATTCATAGAATACCTACAGAGAGAAAGCCATGCCCATTAATGTGGAAGTGTTACACCATCATTAAAGCCTACATTGCAACAACAGAGTTCAGAACTTTCAAAAACACTTACCCCCTCCTCATAAGCAAATCAACAAGATATGATGTTATATGCCGCCCGGCTACATTCATCCTCTTTGTGAGATGAGGGAATGAATATCCATCAACCACAGGAACCTGGAAAACAAATTTCACCCAACCCATCAATCACTGGAACCTGGAATCACTAATTCGGTATCCTAACATGCCTAAATCACATTACAAATATAACTTTATAGAAATATTACCACATGAGTGACTCCATCACCAGAGTCAATGACGAGTCCCGTAAGCAAACCTGAGACGTGCCATGACAACATTGGAAGCACATTACTATACAATCCAACAGGAATGTAAGAGTGTGAACGGATTTCTTCAAAATGGAAACTGTTTGTTGTTTCCATTCTGCAGGGAGCACATTCACTTAATCTTCTTCCGAACCATGCTATATTAGTCTACAGCTGGTAGCCAAAACTAGAGATACACTTGAAACAATTTTACTGAAATTAAACCCTAATAGCACCTTGAGCGTAGAGTGTTAGAACAGCTTGGATTTGGATGAAAACACCAGCAAAGTTGTATTTCTCAAACATAATTTCTACCTGAAATGAAGTAATTTCATAATTAGATCACGTAATCTGTCAATAACGATTTCCATGTAGAAAAATCAAAATATATAGTTCTAAAAGAAGTCATCTCACCATCTTTTCACGGTTTTTAGATGGGTTCAAAGGTGGGTCAGTGAGCAAGATTTTACATTCTGTAGGATCTACCTTAAGACATGATAAGATAAAGTGAAATAAAATTACATCTTGAAATTGAGCTGCAAATACTGAGAGTTATCAGAAATATATGTGACAGTTAACGACTATAGGAGGTATATAAGGAAAAACCTTTAGTTCGCTAAAAAATGCATGATCCCAAACATGCCCCATATCATCCCAATTTTGCACAATACCATTGTTGACCGGATAAGATACGTCTAATTGATGCCGCCACTTTAAACAAGCATCCCCAACAAGAGTGTCCTGTTGAAGAAACATATTGTAATCCTATACTGATACCCCGAAGTGTAGGAATGCAAAGAACAATAAACTGACCGTGAGCTCTTGTTCCATTAAAGATTCTTCATATCGGAGCATTGGCCTTCCAACCACACAAGGGAACACCGATGTGGGGAAGTTCTCACCAGCAAAACCACATTTCACATACTGCATTCTCGAAAGAAAAAAAAATGTTGCATTATTCAGCCTGATTAAGCAAGATCAACTGAAAACCAAAATAATCGACACAAGCAGAAACTCAAAACTCTCCGTGAGCCTAAAATACAACTGAAAATCAAATTAATTCAAACTTGAAATACTCCGTTCCTCGCTATTAAATAAATTTCCCTAATTAAGCTTAACATGCAGGATCAACTAAAAATATCGAACAATCCACAATCGACATACTTTGTCAATCAATCTTTGAGGTAACCTCACAATTCGCACAGTTAACCAAACAATTTGTACACATATAAAAAATATCGCTGATCGATCAATAAACTGAAATGGAAAAGTAACAGTGCAGATTGAGAGGGAGGTAATTACGCCGGTGCCATTATCGCAGACGACGACGTTTCGGTTGTCCATGAGGAGGAGGATCTTTCATATAACAGCAAGCAGCCAATGTTTGATTATACCAACATTTCTTTGAATCGGAGCAACCGCAGGAGACACCGAGCAAAACTCTCTTGCTTTTTTAGTTTACTTGCTGACCTGCAACACGACGCCGTCTTTCAGCTACTGTTCATTTCGTAGTTTTTTTTTTTTTATTTTTTTTTTGTTGAATAAGAAAATAAGAAAAAAATGGAATTAATTTCTAGCTTACAAAATAGGGATTATTTGTCAAAAGTCCCCCATTACACAAGCCTAATTACAATAGATCCAATTTTTTTGGAACTTTTTGAGATAAATCCATTTCAGCATTAAATAATAAAAAATAATAAATTATCACTATTTTACCCCTAACTTAAAAGCAACGCATATTTTATGATTGGAAAAAAAAATTAAAAAAGATTTGTAATATTTTTTCCTATTATATCGCAATTCATAACCAACAACACCGGCTTCTCCTTGCAATCATTCATCAAGAAATCCTCATCGCAGCGGAAATATCTCAGTAGCCGCTCTGTCTCAACACCTGCGTCCGCCGCTCCTCCTCCCCGCCGCTGCCGGCCGCCACATCAGCGGCGGATTTCTGCTTCAGCGTCGAGTTCCAATGGGTTTTAATCGCGTTATCGGTGCGCCCGACGAGCAGCCTCGAGATCGACGCCCACTTGTTCCCTCGAGATCAGCAAGACGGCTTTGGGGCTCCGGGGTAGAAATTTGACAAATAATCCCATATAGGGGATTGAAGCTTGTTTTCGAATTTGGGTGATTTACATGATTTTATTCCTGATTGTTTTCGCCATCTTGACTTTGGAGTTTTTCAGTCATAGAGTTTTTATTTATTTATTTCCATTGGAGGTTGTGTGGAGGTGCTCGGTGCGGTGGCAGGTTTTGGAAATTGATATAGCTGATGTTGTTATTAGTCTTCATCACTTCAATGGCCATTATCACCAAATTCTTCAATTAAATAGCTTTCTGTGATCTTATTTTTTTTTTCTTTTTCTTTTATTTTTTTTAATTTGCAGTTCACATTTTTAGTATCTATTAATAAGTTTTTCTAATTGTTAGTTTCTCCAGTGGTTTATCGAAGCCCAACATCTCAATCAGGAGTTATCTCGAGAGAAACGTAAATATATGAATATGTTTGCTTATATGTAGTGGAATTCGTTAATTACATGTACAGGAATTCGTTAATTACATGTACATGTTGATTTTATTAATTATAGAGTGATTTTCATTAATTACATAGTGGATTTTTGTAATGGAATTCGTTTAATTATACAGTGGTTTTTGTTAATTACAGAGTGGTTTTTATTAATTATATAGTGGTTTTTGTTAATTGATAAGTTTTTAGTGAATTTTTTGAATGAAATTTGTTAATTACATAGTGATGGTTTTTGTTAATTACAGAGTGGTTTTCATTAATTATATAGTGGTTTTTGTTAATTGATAAGTTTTTAGTGAATTTTTTGAATGAAATTTGTTAATTACATAGTGATGGTTTTTGTTAATTACAGAGTGGTTCTCATTAATTATATAGTGGTTTTTGTTAATTGATAAGTTTTTAGTGAATTTTTGGAATGGAATTTGTTAATTACACAGTGATTTTCGTTAATTACATAGTGGTTTTCATTAATTACGTATTGGATTACGTTAATATTAATGTGGATTTTGCTTATTTTATAGTAATTTTTACAATATTTTTATAGTGGTTTTTTAATAAATTTAGTGGTTTTCGGATTTCATTTTTTTTTAAATATGAATCATTTAAAAAAGTGAAATAAAAAAAACCAATTTTTGTTTTAAATTGATTTAAAAAAAAAAACTATTCAAAAAATTAAAAAACAATTATGAAACTAAAACTGAAATGCGTGAGATGGGAGATAATTGAGATAATTAGGGGATGGTGTTGGGAGAAAATAAAGGGATTTGCATAACTACAAAAAAAAAATAATGAATTTTTCAAAATAATATAATATGGTAATTTTCAGTAATATTAAATAGGGGTATTTTGGATAATTTCAATCAATTGGATTTATAACAAATATCAATTAAAAAAAATGGATTTATCAAGAAGTCAAAATTGAATGAGGGGTGTTTGTCATATAGCCCCTACAAAATAATTAGATTTTATTAGGCGGCCCGATAACAAATAACATAAGTTAGGCCCAATCGGTCGGGCCCAATAGTGGAGGCCCAAATAGTGGGAGTGATAACCCTAGCCTCACTCAATATTTAGGGTTTCAGCTCATTTTCACATCCAGCATTCTCACACCTTCTCTTCCGTTCACCACCGCTCGCAGCAGAGAAAATGGTACCACCTTCTCTTCTCTCTACTGATAGGCATTGCGTTGATTTCACGTTCCTGTTATTTGACCTTGTTTACAATGATATTTGCAGGCTCCAAAGAAGGGTGCAAAGCTGCCGGTTGCCGCCAAGAAGAAGACGGAGAAAGTTGTAAATCCACTCTTCGAGAAAAGGCCCAAACAGTTTGGGATCGGCGGTGCTCTTCCCCCTAAGAAGGATCTTCACCGATTTGTGAAATGGCCGCAAGTTGTGAGAATTCAGAGGAAGAAGATGATCCTCAAGCAGCGTTTGAAGGTCCCGCCGCCAATTCACCAGTTCTCCAAAACCCTAGACAAGAACTTGGGTTCGATTCTTTTACCTTTATCTATTATTTGTCTTTTGTATTTAATCGCGTTGGATTGAGTAGATTGTTATTGAAAAATCTGAGGACATTGTGCATGCTCCCTTAAACCTGCAATTGCCTATTTACTTTTTCATTTTTGAGTTGTGTATAGTTTCTTTGTTGACTTAAAATGGTGGTTGCAGTTGCAAAAGTATGTTTATATCTTATGACACTATCCCATTCATTTGAACGATTTTATCCTTTTGCAACCAAAATACTTATGTTACTATGGCTGGCCTATGTATCAAAATATATAATGTGCGAAGAACCTAAATCGGCTGATTTTGTTTCACAAAATCATTGTGTAATGTGGATTTGTAATCATAGGGTTCTGCCTGTTTGTTAGATTGTATGTTAAATGATGTTCTGTGTATCTTGTTTTCTCTTTCAAATTTACAAAAAATAATAGATGCATCAAGCCGTCTCATATAGTTTAGTTAGGCTTACTTGGCCTAAAAACAGGAACTCAAATATCTTAATGTGAAGAATTCCTTTTAATAGTAAAATCATTCCAATTTATGATGGGTCTTATTTGTTGTACAAGCCACACTATTTGGGTAAAGAATCATTTTGTTTGATCATTCAAATTTATATATTCTGTTGTCAACATGCAGCAACAAGTCTCTTCAAAATGCTTCTCAAATATAGGCCTGAGGACAAAGCTGAGAAGAAGGATCGTCTTCTGAAAAGAGCTCAGGCTGAGGCTGAGGGAAAATCTCCCGAAACAAAAAAGCCTATTGTGGTGAAATATGGCCTCAACCATGTGACATATCTCATCGAACAGGTTTGTTTGTCTTTTATGTTAAACTTTTAGTGCTATTATCTATCAAGTTTCTAGGAGATCACACCAATAAATCTTCCTTCTTTTCAGAACAAAGCTCAACTGGTTGTCATTGCTCATGATGTCGACCCAATTGAGTTGGTTGTGTGGCTCCCTGCTCTATGCAGGAAGATGGAGATTCCTTACTGTATTGTGAAAGGGAAAGCTAGATTGGGAACTGTAAGTTGTTTTCCACATTTGCTTTTCGAGTTTGTCTGTAATATAATTGTTTTTTTGTTACGATGCTGATGTTATAAAGCTTTGCAGATTGTCCACAAGAAGACTGCCTCTGTTTTATGCTTGACCTCAGTTAAGAATGAAGACAAGATGGACTTCAGTAAGATCCTGGAGGCAATCAAGGTATAATGTTATTCATAAGCTCCAAATTCGTTCCTAGATGTGTTTTATAATTTTAGTCTTGAGGGGTAAATCTGATCGTGCTGTTCTGCTTTTGTTAAATAGGCCAATTTCAATGATAAATACGACGAGACCAGGAAGAAGTGGGGTGGTGGTGTTATGGGTTCGAAATCTCAGGCCAAGACTAAGGCCAAGGAGAGAGTTCTTGCAAAGGAAGCTGCACAGAGGATGACCTAGAGACATTTTGCTAAATATGTCTATTAGGGTTAGAATCGAATATGAGTATTTCTGATGTGCAACTTGTTTTCCCCAGGTTCAGATTAGACATGAATTTTGTTTTTATTTTGAAATTGCCCCTTTTATTTTTAAATCGAATCTGCTTCAAGTGGACTACATGAATCGAGCTTGTTATTTAAAGTTTTTCTGGTTTTGTTGAATTTATCTATGTAACTTGATGTTTGATCTGTGCTATTCCTCTGCTGTGTCCTGATCATTAAAATTATTAGTTATATATTGAACTACTTTTATTTTTCATTTTTAATAATATTTGCACGTGAGTGTTATTATGTGGTGGGAATCTAATTGTGTTTAAAATTATAGTAATAAGAAATGAAAATTAATAATCCATTAAAAATTTAAATTGAGTGAATGCAATTAATATTATATATGATGAAGTTGCACATATAGACCCCATATTCTTCTTTCGTAGAACAAACTAGTTGAATTTTAATTTCATGAAGATGCAATAATAAGGTAATTGTTTTAAGAGAATGTCTGGTGCCACACACTTGTTGGTTCCGTATCTTTAGCTTCCTAATTACCTCTAGTTCAATTCAAGTGCCTTCCCCTCTCTCTCTCTCTCTCTCTCTCTCTCTCTCTCTCTCTGGAATTCTTGTATTTTGATTCCTCATTACCTCTCTATCTCTCTCTCCTCTGGGAGGGGTCCTTGTACTTCCTTCCATTCCTAGTCAACCCCTTGTCTCTCTCTCTCTCCCCCGGGGAAACAAGCCATTCATAGAGGTTGATCGGGGGTGGGGGAAGGAAGCCTTTGGGTTGTAGGGTTGGGTACCAAAGAAAAGAAAAGATGGGGTCAATTGTAATGGAACCGGAGGACATAGAGTCATACGCAAGAATATATCACCCAGGTGAGAATTATTCATCAATATGCCTACCTGTGGGTATGATCAATTCCAGAGGTATCTTTCATAACACAAACCCTTTGGACTATTCCGTTCCTCTCCTTCTCGCCCAGCTCGCATTGGCCTCCATCGTCATTCTCCTCACTTCTCGTTTCCTCCAACCACTCGGCCAACCCACCATGGTTATTCAGATTGTTGTAAGCTCTCCTCTTTTTTTCCATACCATCTTTTTTCTCTTTACTTTAATTAATTAAAAAACATATGCACCAGGGTGGTTTATTATTAGGCCCCTCCTTTTTCGGAAGTATCGGTGGATTCACAGCACTGGTGTACCCCTTCCCGAGCCTGGTAGTTCTCGACACACTGGCTGTGTTTGGTTACATGATCTACTTCTTCTTGATCGGAGTCCAAATGGACCCTTGGATATTCAAGAAGATCGAGAGGAAAGACATCTCCGTCGGAGTCTCCACCGTTTTTCTCGCCGTAGTCCTGAGCCTGTCGGGAACGTTCATCCTCCTCGCCCGCGACCCCTCCATCGAAAGCAATATAGCCAGCTCGCTACCAGCTGTCGCCACCTCATCCTCCGTTCTCAGTTTCCCCATCGTGGCCCACTACCTCACCGAACTAAAGATGGTGAATTCCGAATTCGGTAGAATGGCCCTGTCTTCTTCCTTGATAAGTAACATGTTTGGTTTCTGCATTATCACTCCCGCCATTCTAGCAAAGCAAAACGGCAGCGAGATTATAGCGAGTATGCAGACATTTATTTCTGGCATCGGATTGGTATTAGTGATCACTTTAGTAATCCGACCACTCATTCTATGGGAGCTGAGAAGACATACCGAGGGAGAGCCGATCAAGCAAGGTTTCATTTATATGGTGTTTATTGGTGTTGTGATGACGGGCTTCTGCAGCAAAGCGGTGGGGCTCAACATCTTCTTCGGGCCTTTGATTTACGGGATTACAATACCTGCGGGCCCGCCTCTTGGATCCGCGCTGATGGAGAAGCTGGATCTAATCACTTCTTCGCTGTTCATGCCTCTCTACTTCGTGAAGAACGGGTTGGTAACCGATGTGTTCTCTGTCAAACCGAAAAACTATTTACTGGTGCAGTCTGTCATACTCCTCGCATGTGTGGGGAAGTTTACTGGAGGTATGATGTCTTCTATTTACAACAAAGTGCCACTCAAGGAAGCAGTTCAGATTGGGCTTGTAATGAATGTCCAAGGGGTTCTTGAACTAGGCATGTTCAAGATGATGAAGCAAAATCGGGTATGCAAATAAAAACAATCATATCTTGAGCTGTTTCAAAACCTAATCATATTGTGTTTTTTTTGGCTGATATTTGCAGGCCATACAAGAAGAACCCTTCATTGTCATGTGCATATCAATGTTGATTGTCACAGCCACAATCACACCCCTATTGAGATACTTATACGATCCGTTAAGGCACCACACGCACCGCAAAAGGAGGACAATAATGGATATGAAACCGGACTCCGACCTCCAAATAGTGGTGTGCGTCCACACCCAAGAAAATGTTCCGGCTATCATCAACCTAATCGGAGGTCTCCACCCAACCAAACGCTCCCCAATCGGAATATGCTTAATTCATCTCGTGGAGCTCGTAGGGTGGGCCCACCCGATTCTCATCCCCCACAAACTAAACAAGGTGAGCTCGCGCAAGGCCACCACATCAAGAAGTATAGTCAACGCCTTCACAATCCTCCAGCAAAGCCACCACCATGGACTAATCACAGTGCACCCCTTCACCGCAATATCTCCGTACGAAACCATGCACAACGAAGTCTGCGAAATGGCGTTCGACAGGCGCGCTTCCTTAATCATCATTCCCTTCCACAGGAGATTATCTTCGTCCAGGATGTTCGAACCGTCCGAAGCAGGGATTAAAAACATGAACGATAGAGTCCTGAGAAGAGCACCTTGCACGGTGGCTATTATCGTGGACCGAGCCCCCACCGTAAAAAGCTCTAGACCAGAAACCACAGAATCACGCCCTTCACTTCGTGTGGCGGTTTTCTTCATCGGTGGGCCAGACGATCGGGAGGCACTTGCTATAGGGGCGAGAATGGCATGTCAATCCAACATCAGTCTGACAATAGTTCGGCTAATTCCAAACAATAAAGTTGCCAACGAGGATGTAGACGAGACAGAGTGTGACAAGGATGCTGTGAATGAATTGAGAAGCCAAATGGCTGGAAATATGAGGGTGGTGTATATGGAAGAGGTGGTAAAGGATGGAACAGGGACTGTTGCTGTGATTAGGGCAATGGACGAACTGTACGAAGTGATAATTGTAGGGAAATATCACGATACAAGATCACCGCTTATGCTGGGGCTTTCAGACTGGGGAGAAGGTTCGGAATTGGGACCTGTAGGGGACATGTTTGTTTTAGCAGATTCCAGTAGTCATTCCACAGTGTTAGTAGTCCAACAGAACAATGATTTTTTAACGAGGCAAGACACCATGAGCGACATTGGATCCAGCGTGTCTACTAGCATAAGGGAAGGGCCTACTTTTCCACTTCGAAGAAGTGTGGTATAATGCCCCTTCTCCCTAAAGCTGTAACTGTAGGCATGCATTTTGCAAAATCTCAAGCGATACCTGCTAACCTGAAATATAAATTTTGATATGAACAGAGGATTAATTGTCGTAGTAGAGGGTAAATATTAATTGTGAATATTTAATTCAGTAGCAAACATTGGACATACGCGTACCATATCTATCCACAACGTATGCTTGTAATATTTACAAAATACTCCATAGCTGTACAAGATTACTCATGTACATATACACAGTTTGGTTCTATAGAACTACACATTTTACTTACAGACAACCCTATGTACAAGACTAAAACCCTTTAAACATATTTACAATATGGGGCTGGTTTTCCTATATCGATGGTATTCGTCATCATCTATATATTTTCACCCCCGGTAGGATATCATCAAATATGCAGAGCTCCCACAGAGGATTATGTAAACAGAGGAGTAAAGTGAAGAGTAGGATACATCTAGATATTTGGAGAAGCGTGAGCTTTAAAGAAGCTTCCGAAAAGGAAACGAATTGTTTTCTCCTCCGGTTTTTTTGGGGAAGAATTTGAGTTCCATTTGACATGCAAAATACCTTGTCCAATTTGCCTGCATATGGAGTCAACTGTCTTAGGGTCAACGGGGCTGCCAGTCACATCCGTGACATAGAATGTGTCCCTGGCTTTCCCACCCTTTGTAGAGATCTCTGCTCTTTTGATACAGAGACTATTTTCCCTAAATACCCTTGTGATATCAGATAAAAGTCCAACTCTGTCCTCCGCGCATAGTTCCAACTCCAGGCCCTACAAAATCAAGGAAGTTGTCAGAACATCACAATCTATTACGGCCTCACATTGTTTCCAACATACTATCATGTAATCTTTTAAAAACCCAATTGTCCAATACACAATCTCCCCACCAAACGAGGCCTGACTCATTACAAAAACAAAAAAAATTGCAGTTACTAGAAATTATTACCTCTGAGCCTCGCCTTTCAATGGCTGCTTCTAGACACTGCACAACACGTTCTCGTTCAGCTTCTGAGCTAACAGGAACCCCATCCACATGACGGATATAATATTCCTGCAATTTAGATATATCTATACTGTCAGTAGATACTAGTCGGTGCAAAAATGCTAAAAAAGTACAAAACTAGTTCATCACATAATTCACTTCCAGAGAAAACCAAAATCCAGCTCTCAATAACTGTACCTGATACGCTTCCATCCTCCCCGTGTGGACCACCCCATGAAAGACGACATACTGCATGTCAGTAAGAGTGCAGACAGTATCAAACAACAGCTTGGGCCGATCCTTCGACCTCATGGTGATGACTGTGTAATCTTTTTCGGTACAATCTGCTACAGTTACATGAGGCCTGGACTTCTTGGCACCCCCTTCTGGTCTCTCGACCCTTACATAGTCTCGATCAGCAAACATAATCTGGTGTAATCTTCTTTCCCTGTGGGTAACTCCTCCAGGAGGGGAAAGTGTCATTTTTGCAGTGTTAAGATCACTGTTTCCTTTAAGAACATTGCAGAGCAACTCCTTTATCGTGGCAAGGCGCTTAGGGTCTTCAATTGCACAGCCAGTGATATCATCAGTTACATGAACCACAGCTGCAGCTCGAGCATTGTGGGTCCATATCTCAGCATTCACCACATTACAGCGGAGATCAGTAAGGACAGCGCACACTTCAGACAGTAAACCCGGCCTGTCTATTCCTGTTAGTTCGATGCAGGTATGCTCTTCAGAAGGCACTAATCCAACTACTCCTTTCGAAGAAGGTACAAAATCGTCATCCTCTTCGAGCCTCTGCAAATAGATGAATAGCATGAAATTAATGTGATTAAAATTTCAGGTGACAAAAATTGCAAAAAAAAAAAAGAAGGTAATTAACCAGTTTTTCTTAAGCAGTTTAGCATGGATAGTGTCGACGTAAGAATTTCGAAGAAGTGTTTACTCAGTAAGTTCTCAACTGCTTAAGGTGACATATCTCTGCATCCTTTTTAATAAAAGAAAAAAATGGATGCAATGTTCGGATTTGTTTGTGATGAATAAACAGAATTCTGTAGAAACTATTAATATTCAGATGCAAAATGATGCTTCTAAAGAAGAAGTCGAGTAATTATTTACTCTTTCAGCCTCATCAATATGGAAAACCAACACATAAACAAACTGTTCAAGAATCCATAAAAGAAGAAAAAGGGGAATTTATACCCTTTGGATATAGCTGATGAGCTCTTGATCTCTAATTTTATTTCCATCCTGATCGATCACGTTAAACACTGCAAACCAAAATTGAATTAAATTAATATAAGAAACATAATAAAAACTTATGTGTAAGTGTAATAAAATATATAATTCAAGCGCTCCCATTTCCTGCCCAAATGAGCGGTGGTTTGTAACAGGACAAACATACCATCCATGAACCATCCTCCATCAGATGAAATGTAAGCTTTCTTAATCACGAGATTCAGGTCTGTCAGAACTTGGACAACTTGGAGCAAAATTCCATGCTTATTGACACTGTCAACCTATAAGAAATAAAATCACACCCAAAATTAAAATAATATATACATACAGAAAAAAAGGAATAGACTAATTAAAAGAACATTTATCATGGTTCCAAAGTCAAAATAATAAAAATTAATAATAATAAATAAATAAATAAAATTAAAAAAAAAAAAAACACTCGACTTAAAAGGGAGAAGGAACAGGGCATGCCTGTACTATAGTTGCATCCTCACAGGAGTCATTATCGATTACAACCCTGCAACAAAAATCCACACAAAACTTGATTTCATGACAACAATCCACACAAAACATAACTTAATTCCATGGAGGAAAAGTAACGCGGCAATAATCTGTCAATGAAAACGAAATAATGAAACCCCGAGAAATAGGGGAAGAAGCAGGAAATAAAAGAGTCGGAAAATTGACCTGGGTGGATTAATCCTCCTAATAAGCTTGGCAAACTCATCATCCCTCTCTTCAAATTTCTCGAACATTTCGGAAAATTATAACTTCCCCAAATGGTGGATGGAAAAGAAAAATATATACGAGTGGAGAAAAGTAGCTGTAAGTGCTCATCCGCTGTAAACAAATTCTCCTCCAATGTATGAGGAAGAAGAATATTAAAGGATGATGTATTTGTGCGTGTGTGTGTGTGTGTGTGTGTGTGAGAGAGAGAGAGAGAGAGGAGAGAGAAAGTGGGTACAGTAGTAGAGTGGGGGGGGGGGGAGATGCAAATTGCAAATGGAGAGACTGAATTGTAGGTAGAGGCGGCCCTTGACTTGTCTCAGGGAGTAACCAACGCTTTTGCCCCCACCCCCCCAATACGACGACGTGGCGTCTGCTTTAAATTGATACTTAATTAAATTACATGGGGCCCAAAAAGATTCTTGTTGGATTTTGTAGGTGCTATTCGGCCCAAATTAATCCTTTCTATTCCAATACCTATATTTAAGATAGATACTTAATTCCAATTGATTTTTATTTTTTTGGTTATTGGGCTGGCGTGGGCCATGATCCATATGAATTAATAAAAGGTCCGGCGACGAGGCAAGTTGCAACACAGGTGTCACTCAACCATTGCCCCAATTGGTACTTGGCGGCATTTGGCTTTTGAGCTACTACTTGTCATATGTCATGTTTTTATAAACACTAGTAACCATAACCCGTGCGTTGCACGGGTACCATTATAAAACAAAAGATATTTAAAACTTAATATGTTGAATATAATGAAATTCAATAATTGAAAATACATCACACCATAAGAAAATCGTAAAAAGTAACCATAAAAAAAATATTTAAAACTTAATATATTAAATATAATTAAATTAAATAATTGAGAATACACCACGCCATAGAAAATCGTACAAAGATGGATAAATAATACTAAGAACTTGATTAATACAATTAACTATAGTTTTAACGATTGACCAATCAAACCTAAGGCTCTATAGCTTGTCGAAGTACAACAACATATTGTCACTTGCCATTTCTTGCTTCGTTGTTTCTCAATCCTCAAGAGTCAAGATTGATATGTGCAGAAATTATGACAAAGTGAACAAAACAATGTAGTAGATATGAGAAGAGTCACAAAGTACTGATAGTGTGCTTGTATGAAAACGTAAGTAAACTATCAATAGGAGCTATAAAAACGACCAATAGATCGGTATCGGTATCGGTAAAAACAAAAAAAATCAATGTTTACAGCTCACAAATTTACCTATCCAATGTTCTCAGAAAAAGCATCAGGAGAAATACCAAAATGGTATTTCCATAAGTCAAGTCTTCATAGGAGCATTTTAGACTTTAACAGTCTATCTATCAACTAAAATCACCACACAATTAAACCAAGCAATATCAACCCGAAAACCTTATAGGGCTTCCCGAACTGAGGTAGTGATGCTTAAAAAACAGGTTACGCCTATTCCCATGTAACTATGTCTCCAAGATATTTCTCCAGTCTTTGGAAAATAAAATGAGGATATTTTCTTCTTCAATATCAACACAAATCAGGTTTTACATGTACATAAAGTTATGGTTTATATGCACTTAAAAGTTAGGACCATGATAATGATAGAAACTCTTCAAAAAAAATATACATGATAGAATATATAACATAATTTGCAATTTAAAATTATTTCCAGATTCCACTTACAACCAATCTATATTTATATCCGTGCTTGATTAAATCACATAAGTTGTTGAAGGAATCACATAAAAATTATAACTATCGGGATTAAATCCATACACAAATTCAGGCTGGTGTTCGAGTCCGGACCATGGTCCGAAGAGATATTAGACGAATTCAATTTCATCTTGCTATTGCCATCTGATAATTCTTCTCTTAAATTCTCTAATCGATAATTCAAATCTGCCAGCCCCGAATGCATAACCTTGAATATCAGATTCTACACGGCACATAACGAATTCACAGAGAGAGCAATCTCTAGCAAATGAAAAAAAAAAAAATCTAAAAAGACAAAAAACTTACCCCTAGCAAAAATTGCATTTCATCATCATGATCACGAAACAGATAATGGGGAAAAAGTTGTCTTTATATAAGATTTATATAAACAACCTTAGTTGCAAAATCTGGCAAACAATGAGGAAAGAAAAAACAATCAAATGTTGATGTAAAATTCTATATGATAAAACCAAATTAAAGTAACAGGTTATAAAAATATCTTGAATTTCGAGGTGTCTTCCAATGTTAAAAGAAACTTATTCCAAGCGCTGGCTCAAAATATTTTTAAGCTTATAAACAGAGGGAATGATTTTATCGAGTCATCTTCATAGGGCGGGATCTCGTTCATGTGACGTTTCCTGTCTTCATCTAATAACCAATTACGTATTCTTCATCTTTGCTTCCATAATTTATCAAATGTACTACAAATGACAGAACCTACCAGAGTAAGATTGAAAATTAAATATATAGTCCTTAAATATTCAGTAGATGTAGTGAAAAAAGGAGAAAAAAACCTTAAATGCTCACTCATTTTTGTATAATGAGAAAGCTTCTTTCGTCACGCAATCCCAGTCGTTGAAATCACTTGATTTTCCAAATTCTCTATCACCAAGATTGCGGGGTCATACAGAAACTTGATGTCATACGATTGTAATAACAAATCAAATACAAATATATAATCCTAATTCGGAAACACAATACATAACTGCCCGTCTTACTTCTCAAGAGAGATCCGGCTTGTCTTTGTCATATCTCTGTTGTTTCCTCTGCATTCGAATTTACTAAGCGAATTTGCAGAAATGAAGTGAGAAATGGTAGGTGAAAACTTATAGTAGGGGTGCGAAAGGGGATGAAAGAGAGAAAATTGTAACCGTAGATGAAATGCAGGGGGGTGAAGAAAGAAAAACAGAATTAGGGAATAAGGAAGATCGTGTACTGAATTTTCTTCGGAGTGGACGGTTTTTGTGTTCAACATTGTTTGAAAGAAAAAAAATGTAAAAATAAAAAATTGACTAAAATGGCCCTAGTAACCATGCTCTGTGCGTTGCACGGAATACCATTACAAAAGAGAAGAAAATAATTATTTAAAATTTAATTTGTTGAATATACTGAAATTAAATAATTGAAAACATATGACACCATAAAAGAATTAAAAAAAAAGATAAATAATATTGAACACATGTTGAATACAATTAATAATAGTTTTCATAATTGAACAAACTAACCCAATGCTTCATATGTTGTTGAAGTCTAGCATATCATCATTTGACACCTCTTACTTTGTTGTTTCTTAACATCCTCAAGATTGATACTTGGGGAATCCGTGACAAAGTGTACGCAAAGACTCTTTAGTTTTGATAAAAATCATAGAAAAAAAATTATAAAAATAAATAAGTAATAAAATAGTAGATGGACATAGAAATAAGAGAGTCTCAAGGTACACCCAAGAATTGTTGTTGGTTTCCACCTCCAACGAAGATGAGTCATTCACAACCCTAATTTTGATTCAAACACAAAAAAAAATTCAAATATGAACGATTTTCTTGGAACATATATGAATTTATTATATAGTGGATGTGGGAAGTTATTAATTAACGGGGAGTTACTGCAAGTGGGGAGTTGTTGTAAATGTGTGTTATTAGGAAAATTATAGATAATAAATATTACTGAAATAGGTAGTGACGATAATAATTGTAATAAAAATAAATAAATTTAAATTTCAGTAATAGCATTAACATTTCTACAAATTTGATAATGCAACATGATAACTACGCAAAATACTTAACAAAAATTCTTCTGTCTCGATTAAGTAGTTAGATCTTGTTGCGGGTCGCATTTTATTGTGCAATTCTTTTTAGCAAAATCAGTTTCGCGATCACTTCACTCTACAACTGAAATAGACGACTATGTGCAACAAAATTTTGCCACATGAAAGGAAGCGTCGGTGAGACATAGAAAAAAAAAAGAGCAAAATGTTAGTTAAAGTTTTACGAAAATCATATGAAAAAGGTAGCTAGGTTTTGGGAAAAACTTGCATACACGATTCACATTTAATAGAAGAGTAATTGTTTAATCAACCACAAAATGTATCTACTACTCTTAATACACGGTTATATGGTAGTTGGTTTTTATTTTCCTTTTATGGGAGGCAAATAATTTTTGTCATGATATGCACGGATCTTTCATGATTATTTATCATATAAACTCATTGGATAGTTTTCCAATATTTACTCTTGCGTTTTAAGTTTTTTCCCCTTATGCATTTTTTTTCCTCTAAAGTTTTTGATTGAATTTACAATGATGACAATTCAAATTTATATACAAAAGGTGCAACAATCACTTAAAAAATGTTAATTTAACTTTCTAGATTAAAAATAATGAGAACATTCACATTACTTGAGCAAACAAAGATTAATTGCATAAATTCTCAAATCAAAATCTATGCCAACTCTATCAGAATATAATGGATCAACGAACGAAAAAAGAAAACAGAAAAAATCGCAGATTTGTGTTGCCTATTCAAGAAACAATAATAGCCTATCAATATACTCACAAACTTAAAACCTAATAATATAAATAATAGTTCGCGAGCCTAGCATGAATGTTTGTAGATGTACAACATGTTGCCAAGTATTTGGTGTATGATGTGAGATGATGATGGTTTCTTCTCTTCTTTACTGATTTTTTCACGTTTAATGTCTTAGAATTGCTGAGTAGCTTCAAATACAAATACAGCAACAAAGTCTTGTAAATTATAAAACTTAAATATTATAAATAAATTATAGCAAAAAAAGCTTTTAACTAACAGAAGCACATAATAAATGTCTGACATAATTTTTTTTCCTTCTACCGAATTGCGTGAGTAGCTCGCTCCAATCACGAATTGTTGTTGATAGGAACAGGTTTGCTGCAAAAGAAATTTACAATATGTCAAACACAAATGCAAAAATAAATAAATAAACGGCATAACACAGTTATTAAATAAGCGAAGAAGAAGACGAACAAAATTTTAAATGAGAAAGAAGAAGAAAGTTGGCAAAAAATGTGATTTTTGGTAGAGTTCTCGTGAGTTTAAATAGAAGAATGAAATTGGTAGAGGTTGAGATCATGGTGTGATAACTTCTACCATGATGAATTAGTGGGGGGTTAGTGGGTGGTTAGAGTGGAGAAGAAAAATAAAAAAATATATATATAAATAATTAGAAACATACGGTATATTTAAATATAGGAGTTAGTGTTTAAATTATAAATTTATTAATTAATGGTTAAATTAGACATTTATTAATTTACAAAATTAACCCTAGGTTTATGTTTAGGTTTTAGTTCAAAATATCTTCGTTTTATATATAAGATTCAATAAATAAATAAACCCGAGTCTATCCCAGTACTGCACAATTAAAAACCTTATTTCCACAATATTTTTTTTTATCTCAATTCTCAATATTTGATGTCATGTTAGTTTCTTGTATATATTTTTTATTTATATACTTTCATTTAATTTAATGTATCATTAAATGTAAAATTTCATGAAAATCATTGTAAATTAAAACTAATGATGACACTGACACGTGTTTGAAGAGATTATAGGAATATAAGTTATCCAAAATGTTAGCGTAGTTGGTAATGAATGAACAAGTTGAGATTGAAAAAGAAAGCAAGTGATAGGCAATAATAATGAGATGCATTTGCATGATCTAATAATTAATCCAAGTTGACAACGTAGGAATAATCATTAAAGTGATCTGGTTTCGACAAAGTGGTTTAATTATATTTATTGCAACAAGATTCCAAAGTCATGCATGATAACAGAATTTGGAATAATTTTTCATCGGCACCAAATATATGGAGTATATAATATATAAAGGGACGTTGGTTCAAATGGATGAGCTTTGGTATAATATATATATATATATGTAGAGATAGACATATTATATAAATACACACATCAGCAAATAAAATAAATAAAGAAAAAATAAAGAAAAATTAAAGAGTACTACTACTCATCCTACTTGACAGGTGTACTTATCCATTAATATTAAGAGGGAGGGAGTGTGATACATAGATAAGGAACGTGGAATCCTGGAACAACACATAGTCATAGATGTAATGCTAAAAAACTCATTGTCATTACTTTGTCTGTGTTTGGACAAAATGCTAATATTTAATCAAAGATAATTAGAAACTTGACACATTTCTTAATCTCAATTAATAACTGATGTGATTATTTTATTTTCTTGATTAAAAGAAATTAAGACTGTATATATTTTTCTTCTCACACGAGCGTTGAATATGTAATAAATTTGTTTTCAATATTACAAAGATAGACCCACTCGCATATATATTATATATATATATATATATGTATGTTTGCCAACTTATGCAAATTTGTTCAAATATTATACAAAACGCAGGGGATCGGATAAGAATGAGATTCAAAGGAATAAAGGTGATCAAATTCATTTTAAACATTAAAGCATAAAAAGACCGACAAGCTAAGTGTCATGGATTCTAATTAGTTACAAATAACAATTCTTAATTATACCGGCCACTTAACGTTTAACTATATATATATGTTTCATAATTCAAGAGTTTAGTTTACATACGGTGGATTGTTGAGATAAATAAATAAATAAATAAAATGGATTATATATTATATAAAAAAAAAATAAAAAAAATAAAAGAAAATTAAAATGGTCCCATATTGATGTAATGTTGGAAGGATATGGAAATTGGCATAATCTGAAAAGGGCGGTGTGAATGTGATCTATGGGAGACAGGCTGTATGCTCTTTATTTTCAATATTTTTACATTTCCCCTTTTTACCCCTTCATTAATTTACTTATGCACTTCCATATTCAAATATTTGGGATTATTTTGTAGTAGATATTCATTATTATTCATAAGGAAAAAAAAACTAATTATTATTGGATAACTTATTACATATGGGAATTTGAAACTGAGCAAAAAGAGGTTTTCCTCGTGTTGGTACGTTTCAGATCAGTGCTTTGGGAATTGAACTTTGACGTTTTCCAATGCCTTGAATTTAACAATGACTTTTAATATGTAAATTCAGTGCTTCTTGTAAGGCCCAAATACTCTTTTCATGGGCCCTATAAATAGATTCATACGCTCAATTTGTTTGTTCTTATTGGGCCTAAATTTCACTTTTTCTTTTCTAAATGACGTGTATCCTATTAAATAACTTGTAATAGAAAATATTGATATGGTAAATTAATAATAATAGATGTGATTAATAATGAGCACCACATATTGTATTGGCATTTATTTTATTTTCTCTTCTTTTTTCACAATAAATAATAAAGAAATAGATACATTTCAAGTGTGTGTGTGTGTTCATATAATTGAAGAGTGTCTGTCTCTACATAAGACAATATAAGTAAGATAGGGATAATATATATCGAATTCTGTTGTTCAAATCTTAGCTTCAGAGATTATTCACTTTCTGTTTCAATTTCAACTCCATTCAGAGTGAGCGCCGAGTGGACTCATGAAAAACTTTCTGAACAATATAACCACCTACTCCCAAATTTTGCATCAAATAAACACAAATTACTGAATTAGTACAAATGCTAAATCAGTTGAGTTGATCCATCATCCACACATAATCAACAAAACTTTTGATAATAAACAAGTTAAGTTCACATCCAAATTAACTAATCCCAATACTTGCTCCGAATTGAAGCAAATTCTATATTAGTGACAACATCTCGAATTCAATCCTCTCTAATTTACACATCAATATAATAAATCAAACATTTGATGAACTAAATAAAATAAAATAAAATAAAATAAAATAAAAATTGGCCCAGCCTCACCTGTATGTATGTATCTCAAACAGTGGGATGAAAGCTCCGGGATTGAAGAAACCCCAAAACAAAAAAAAAACAGGGAAAATAAGACATTACTGAAATTCTTCAACATATACAATATAAAATCCACTCAAAAAAACTCAATCTCTTTTTTTTTTTTTTTTTTTAATTTAATTATTGTGCTGATTCTTGAGAATCATCCTTGGAAGATTGCTGATTTTGATTTTGATTTTGGTTTTGATGGTGGTGCAGGGTTCGAGGCTGGCCGATCTGTTGGTGGTGGTGATAAATCTGGGTAAATGCTGCTGGATGATGATGATGATGATGATGATTTAGAACCCCAATATTTGCATCTTGTGATAACCCTAGCTCCAATCCAGGATGATGATGGCTATTAGTATTATTAGTAATGCCACCCAAAATTGAAGTAAAACTCATAGCTCCCCCCATATTCCCCGGGGGCAAGTCAAACCCTCCATGAAACCCTATCTTCTGCAAGTAACTCTGTTGATTCTCATTCACCATTGATGAAGACGATGATGTCTGAAATCCATAACCACCCATACCAGCAGCAGCAGTAGGGGGCCATAATCCAGTGCTCGCGCCGCCGACGATTGGCCAAGGGGTCCTACTCCCCCCCGAATCGTCCATCTTTTGATGTAGCCCCGACGAAATCGAGCCGCCGTGTTGGGAAATCGAGCCGGCGGCGGCGGCGGCTAGGGCGGACGCGGGTATTGTGCCGGTCCCCGTGGCGGCGATTATTGACGGCTCTGCTTGTTGGAGTAGCCACTGGATAGTTTCTCCGTCGGATTTGTGCCCTAATTCTCTGGTGAGCTGGAATATTCTAGCGGCGCAGAGAGCTGGCATCCTTATTCGCCGACCCCTGCCTTCCACTTTTGTGTGCCTGTCTTTGTTTGATGTTCTCTTCGGTGCTAAAGACTGTTTCTTCGATTCATCTTTCTCTGCAACAACAATCTGTTGTTGTAAATCTTTGATTTTGTTTTCCCCCATGTTTGGCGATTCAGGGATGCTTAAGAAGCTTGGTTGTGCCTGTTTTGAATTGTTGTTGTTGTTGTTAGGATCCATTGATAAATAATTTATAATTTCAAAAAAAAAAAAAAATTGCTTCCTCCTATGATATACGAAGCGCCATATCCGGTAGAAAGAATAAGAATTCTTGCTGGTGTTTGTGTTGACAGTGGTTTTGATTGAACAAGGTAGAGAGAGAGAGAGAGTTGAAGAAAACAAAAGAGAGAGTAAAAAAAGGGAATTGTTTCAAGTGGTGTCTGTGTTTGTTGCCTTTTCTTGATTTAAAATTTAATCTATCTGAATGAATGAATTTTAGCTAAAGGGGAAACGAATGTGAAACACAAAAGGTTAAATCTTTGAAATCCCAAGGCACAAAATGGGATCTTTGTCAAAGATAAAATAAATAATTAAATAAAAAAAATTGGATCCATGTTTTCTTTAATTTGCCCCCTCTCCAGTCCACCCCTTTTACACTGTTGCGAGTTTTGACTTGTTCTTTTTAGATAAAGACAAGATTTTTACTTTGTTTATTTCACTGCACAGAAAACGTAGTAAAAAATGTAGATCAGCTTTGTAAAAAATACATCAATCATGATTAGTAATGAATTACCAAGTTGGGATGACATTATTACAAACAGTATGAATTAGTACTGCTGATGATGCCATCATCTCTTCTTCTCTTGTAACAGACTCAACACAAAGTAAACGTATATAAAGCGGGAGTCACTAAAGAAGAACACCTGGCAGGAAATAATTGGAATGAGGTTACTTCAAACCTACTTCAATCAGGCCCATTTTCAACATATATTATATCTATGTCGTTGCACAAAAATAAAGATTTATTTAAATTATATCATTAAAGAAACTTAATTAATTATGGGATCAAGAAGCAAGAAAGAATGTCTTCATCGTCAGTGGGTCATGTCCCTCTGATCTGATGGTTGTGCGAGTCTTGTATGTATTGTAGCATCTTCCAATTAAGTTGGAAAGTTCATGTAATAATAATCTTCATTTATTCATATTCTTACGGATCAATAAATAATTTGTAGATATTTATACAAGATTGATGTAATTGTTTGAATCAAATATAAACTGACATCTTTTAATAATAAATACCATTCTTATATGGGGTTTAGGCATATGAAAAATAATACAAGGTTGAAGATTTATTTAAATATTAAATTAAAAGAGAAAAAGGATCGTGCAGTGCAGTGCAGATAACATTCATTTGTTGATAAATTATAAATAATTAATATACTCTATAGAAGATAGATCGGCCTGGCCTGTATCCAATGATTGCACGCCCCCACCATCCATCAACTCTCTCTCTCTCTCTCTCTCTCTCTCTCTCTCTGGGGTTAAAATAAAATAATATAGTAATGCAGAGAGATGTCAATTTCATTTGTTTAAGGAAAAGCCTATGGCTATTACTATGACTTGGGACAAATCCCATATTAGATTGAGAATCTCTTACCACTATGGGTCTAACTAACATCATCATCAATCCACGCCAACAATCATGGCTATACAAGAAACTGAAACAATAGAGTGTGTGTGTGTGTGTGTGTGTGAGAGAGAGAGAGAGAGAGAGAGAGAGAGAGAGAGAGAGAGAGAGAGAGAGACGAAACAAATACAATGTATTGAACATTAGAATATCTCCAATGAAGTGTGTGCTTTGTCACACAATAAAATCTTGACAATAATAAAAAAAAAAAAAAAAGGATCAAAATCAAGGCATGTGATTGATAATCCACCAAACACCTGTCCTACTTTCGTTATGAGTGCTTGGTTGGGCCATCTTTTCTAAGATTCATTTTCACCTCTCCTCTATCGTAGATAGTAAAACAGATTTTGCCAGGCACACTGTGAACTCTCTCTCTCTCTCTCACACACACACACACACACACACACACACACACAATTCAAAAACCGACACCTAGATTCACAAAAAACAAAAAGTAAAAGGTAACAAAAGAATGAAAAAGAAAAGACAGGAGTAAGTGATAATTCTACTATAGATTCGATGAAAAAAAAAAGGAAACGGATTTGATCACAATTAATCGTATCAATTTTCATAGTCCTATAATACCCGATGAAGTCTTACTTAGCTCATGAGCAATTTCTACCAAGCAACTTTCCGACCCCATAATAATAATAAATAAATAAATAATATTTCAAAAGAAACGATAATTTAGCAATTGATTGGGAAAAAAATGTATCAACATCAGTGACCTGATTGATTGATTGATTGATTGATTGTTTTATCTACAGTTTTCTTCGTAAAATCGCAAAATACAAAAAAACACAGCAGCAGTTTCAAGATTTATGATTTTACGAAACCAAGGTGGAAAAGAGTCACATATATCAAAAGACGAAAATCTCATACATCTTCTCCACCACTGAATTCCTCTCTCTTTTTTTCTCAGGTCCAAATATTTCCTTCAATAAAAACCGCTTCCAAATAGATGGGGGGATAATTCAAACAGACTAGTCAAACGAAATGTATGAAAACATGCTCCTTATAAAACACCGATGTCTAAAAAGAGTATGCAATGAATCAATAAGTACATTTTGAAAATATTACATATTCACAGACCAGATATTTTCTGTTCAAGAAACTTGAGAATTGGAATTACAAATTACAATGAAGAGATGCTTACTTGCTCAGGTGCTTACAGACGGCCCAAAGTACATGCAGATAGGCGGATTAATCCTGAAGATGGACAGAATGGCTGATGGTATTGTCCATATTCCGTCACCGCAAATCAAACCCGAGGCAACAGCACCTGCATAATCTTCTGAGCTCTTCCTATTTATCCGCTCCCAAACGAACAATATCACAGTACCAACAAACATGTCAATCGCAAAGTAAGCTCCAATGTAGAAAGGCACTGCCATTGCCATTGGAATAGGAATGAACTGAGAAACCTTTTTCGGGGTTACATCTCTCAAAAGGTTTACAGCCAGTGCAGCCACAAAGAAGCCACAACACAGAGCAAGGCAATGCTTTGGAAGTTCAGAGAAGCCCTCAACACCCAAAATAGCCATTTCTCGGTATATTACAGCATACGGTGCTTTGTATGGACTGTCGGGTGTTCCAACGTCAAAGGCAGTCCAATACATCCAAAACGTGAGAGGTGCAATCACACAGCCCATGGCTGTTCCGACTATTTGGCTCACAAACATAGACTTCGGCGATGACATAGTTAGGTAACCAGTCTTGAAATCTTGCATTAAGTCAGCAGCTGTAGAGACAATTGACATCATTACCCCACAAGCTGCCAGCCCAGCTATAACGCCACCATTGCTTCCTACGAGTGAGGCAATAATGAAAAGTCCAATCTTTCCATATGTGGAAGCCAGGCTCCAGTCCGTTAGGCCAGTACCGTATGAGTTGCAGAAGGCAAGGGCTGGGGCTATTAGGTACGAACAGAGGACTAAATACCACTTAAGAGCTGGAAATATCATTGGCATCACAGCTATTGATATTGCTGCCAAGCCGATATATCCAGAAGCAGCATACCAGTTGGATATTCCGTCTCTGAGGAAAACCTCATCCCGCTTCTTTTCTTCCGCCAGTAACTTGGAGGTGTTACCATCTATCAGAAGATCCATGTGAACCGAAAATAAAACAACATTCTTATTTAAATTGATGATAAATGTAAATTTTAATCGAACCTACGATGGTTATTTCCAGCATCCTATTTTGTAGCAAGGGACAACATACAGGGATATGAAAGAGGATGAAAAGTACTCTTATAGGAATATTTTTTTTTCTTTCCTTTTGTTTTCTCTTGTAGTATTTGTTCGTACAAGAGTTGAAGCTGGGAGGGTCAGAAATAAAAGAACATGAAAATTTTATCTATTGCACTTTAATGATTACAATCAACTTGCCAGTTCAGAAGGCAGTTACTATTTTATGGAAAGTAGAAGACCTGTTGTGCAGTCCAGAACCAAGAAACAACAGTAACAAGTAAAAAATATCTATAACTGGGAGAAAAAGTTCTACCTGTAACTTCCTTTATGATTGGAAGGCTTTGACGCTTGGTGCTTACTTCCTTCACAGTTACTGCTATGATCTTAATCAAATTGTAAAGACCATCCCCAAGAATAAGCGAAATGGCTATAAAGACCTGAAGGGAAAAAAACCCTTTGTTAAATGAAGTCACAAAAGCACTAGCAAATAAAATTTCATCTCTAATCACAAAATTGAGAGGATAGACTATGACTGAATTACTAAATTGAGGTTAAAAGGCACACAGTACCAGTCATTTGAATGAATGTTGAAGATACACTTATGTAAGACAGTTTCTAGTGAATGAGTCATTGGGTGCTTAATTCAACTAGAGATAAGAGTTACCTTGTATCCATAGAGACCTTTGAAATCATTGCTACCAAGACCAGACGGATACCAATCGCCTGCCTTCAGTGAAATGAATGGCCAAAGAAAACCCCATGATACGATAGCTCCAAACAGAACAGAACAATTGACTAAGTGAGGGCAAATCAGCCCACAGCCAACATAAGTTGGACTAAAGTCAAAATAGAACCTGCATGAAATCTCAATGTTTAAGATCCATCTAGTATCACATATAACAGTCATCAACGATAATTCAAGCAAAGTTTCAGTAGAAGTACATCATTGAATATGGTACATAAGATGCTGTTAAATAATAGTGAAATGAGCAGAAGTATACGTATTCTTGAACAGTGTCAATCCAAGGCTTGGGAAATTGTCAAATCCACACGAATCGCCGACCCCGCTAAAGAACCATTTAAAGCAGCTCCAGCAGAAACTTATGCTTAAATATTTTCCAAGACAAGATACCTGATTTCTAAAGAAAAACAAGGAAGTGAACGACATTTGGTCAGAAATAAAGACTTCTTTGAATAGGCATTAGGATACGACAATGTGGCAGTGACACTTTCACCGCAAGAGCAAATATTAAGTAAGGAACATGCAGACTATCGACAACTTAAAAGATAAATAACCAAAACTTAATACATTCTTACCGGGCAAGTTCAGCTCCAGTGCTTGTGTGGAAGCTATTGATAAGCATAGCAGTTGCAGTCCCACTGGGGTAGGTCAACTTATAATCCAAGACCATGACCTAAACTTGATGAACATAAATATTTTGAGCACAAATAAACTTGAAGACTCCAATCAACTAAATGCAATTATACAAATATATCAACCCCCGTTCCCGATAAACAAATACTGGTCAAGTTCATGCATCACAATTAACATTTAACATTATGATGCTACTTTTTGGTCTATTTTCGCAAGCATGGATGTGTACATCGTGATAGAAGAAATTATGAAAGTAAATTGCTTCTAACTTCCAAGCCATGACTCACAACTTACTAACTTAGTCTAACTTTCGCAAACATGGATGTGTACATCTACTCATTGTTGCATAACTTAATTTCTGTAGATAGTAGTTTACCTTCCGAAGAGGAACAAGACTAAAGAGTCCCAGGAAACTGACAACAAATATAAAGCCCATCATCCACAACAATCCAGGGTTCTTCACATCCTCTGCCCGATTACCCGGATAATCTTCACCAATCAGTTTATAAGTTTTTTCATCCATAGAAAGCAAGTAAGATCCGAACCCCCCTGTCCAAATAATAACAGAACCACCTCCAAAATTAGTATTCATCCTATTGAATCCACACATGCATCATAGCGTAAAAATGACTAGCTTATCAATTCTCAGTTCTCACCAATTTTGCTACTACAAATCTTCGAACAGTTAGATGCTGTTCAGTTATTACTCAACAATAATTTTAATACATGAACTAAGTACGACATTATTGTAGTTAAGATGATAATTACGTGGAGTGATGAATAGGTCAAGGAATTTCCTTTATGGAGTTAATAAGCAAAAAAAAAATACAAAAAAGAGGGGGGGAAGCAGGGAACTCACCACTGAAGGCGAGACCATAGCAAGCCACAACGCACGTTTGAATAACCGTGTTCTCTTGGCGAGTAAAAGGTTTAACCGAAAACCCCAATTTGGCCGAAACCTCGGTCCATGATTTGACGAAGAAGAAACCGAGCAAACCGGCGGCAACGTTGAGCGAAGGGATGATCCCGACCGTTAGATTAAGCTTGTGTGTAATTATACAGAAAAGTGTTCCAAGTATAGCACTGACAACCAGCCCTCTGATCGTAATCTGCTCCTTCCATTCTGGAATCCGTTCAATTTCCTGATCATCGGCATTGACTCCCCGGATTTTGTCGACTGCATTTTCATCCTGGAGCAGAGGCTCCGATATCTCCACCGACGTCGTTTGTTCTGTTCCCATTAAAAAACAAAAACCCAATTTCTGATTTCTGATCCCCAGAAAATGGAATCTGGAGTTTTTCTGTTAGAACAGATTATTAATCTTGTGATTCTTATTTAATTATGTTTTTCGTGGGTCGCGAGGAAGTCTCTCCTGTTCTTTCCGCTGCATTTCTGTCCAATTTCAGCATAAATCGGGTCTACATGGGACTAGCAACTTTGAAATTTAAATAGTCATTGGCCCTCAAAAGTCAAATCATATAACTTTTGTATCGAAATGTGTGTTGATGAGCTACAAATTGAATGCATAACTTTTTTATGAGTTAATGTTTGATATATTTATTATCCCAAAATTTACTTTGAAATATTAGTGTCACTGCGCCAAATTAAAATTCCAAATTGAATCTTTTAAATTAGTACTGCTATAATGTGAGTCCCAACTCCCAAGTGTTTAATTCCAATATTGACGTGTTAGGTGAGTTACCGCAGCCTTGCAACTGCACACAGTGTGATGCTTATTTGTAATCGAGCCTCGATTTGCGGTTATGTTCATTTACGTAAGAGGCTCGCATTGATATTTTGGATTTATTTATATTTTGTTCGTTTTGGAGATATTTTTTATGGGCAACCATACTCAATCTTGGAAATTTTTTTTTTTTTTTTTTTTTTTTTGTAATGCAGGAACCCGCAACCAACCATATAGGTGCACTGGGTAAACCTACACTCTCGTATAATAGCTTGCAAACCATACGAAACCATACGAGAGATGTAAACCACACTAGGCTAACCATGTGTGACAAGCTCGACCTAGCGACCGTTGGCAAGGGGATTCGAACTTGAGTCAATTGACCCAAGCTCTCTTGCTCCAACCGCTAGGCCACCCTTGCGGGTTGGAAATAGTTGATACAGTTGCAGAGAGTCTTTCATTGTTGGAAATTGTCGTCTGCCTATTACAGTTAAATTGCTAACAGAGTCTACATTTGCATCAAATTGCGTGAAATTCAAACAGATAAGTCCATAATTAGCACTTTAAAAATTTGTGAAGAAAAATAGTTCCAGTTCCTTTAAAAAACAATCGATTTTTTTTCGTAGCAACATCCACCACAGTTACAATCGATGCTAGTAACACTTTTGACTCATCAATTCTTTGAGATTTAACTTATCAATTTAAATTTCGAAGAAATTACCGATTCAATTATTTTTTTCGATTCAGAATTATATATTTTTTTACATGAGTAGTCGAAATAAAATCAAATAAATAAAAATAACTATAAAAAAGGAGTTGAAAAGAGTTTTACTAAAAACTTGAGTATAAATTTCTTTGAAGTATTGTATTTTATCATTATAAATACTAGCATTTTTTCTCCGTGAGATGCACAGGATATTATTTCAAAAGTGAAAAAGAATAATCAATTTAATATATAATGAGAAAATATAGTACACTAACATAAAAATAATGTTACATATTAAAATTTAACAAATCGAATTTCTATCTTTGTCTCTTAAGATTTGATAATTGTTGAAAATAATAGTTAGAAAATTAGTAAAGAACAAAAATATTAATAACAAATAATTACAGATGTACTATTAGGATGTGATTCTTCACGATTTAGTTTCGATTTTGATAATTGTTGAAAATTGTAGTTAGAAATTAGTAGAGAAAAAATATTAAAAATAAATAATTACAGAAATACCATTAGGGTTTTAGAGTTGCCCAGCGTTTCTTTCTTTTATATATAAGATAAATATAGGTTACTCTTTATTTTTTTTTATAATTCTGAATAAAACATAAAACTCTTGTGTATTTGGCAAAATAATTTTGGATTGGATTTGCCATTTCAAGTAATAACCAATTAGGCCCCAATACTATGGGCTTTTACATTTCAGTTTTGGGCCAGCCCATCATTTGGACCAGGATCACCACCAATTTCATTAGCTAAGGCTATAAAAGTCGTGACCTGTTAATGAATTTGACTTCAAACAAAAACTAAATATAAGGTGCACAAAAATGCTAAACCCTATTTAATTTTATTTTTTTTTAAATCAAAAAAGTCACGATTTCAAATATAAAAATAGCTGCCGACATAGGAAATGATAACTGATGATATTATAATAATCAAATAAAAGTTCCATAACAAAGTAACATAATGTGGGATCCACGCTCTAATTATATATATGCCGAAGATTACTGGAAGAGTCGAGAATCCATACCTATTTGATCAACTGGTGGATACTTGTGTTTGTATGGATTTGTTACTCTCACCCATAGAGGCAACCCTGCTGTTTTTTAGCCTTTTGTTCCTTAGCTACAAATGAGGATACCTCAAACATCTTTAGCCCCCCACCCCCACCCCCACCCTAGAATTTTCATTAATCTTCACAATATTTGTCTCACCAATTCCATAATTTCAATAATAGACCTAATATCAACTTTTTTACTTATTGCACCAAATAAACCGGGACTTGCATAGGAGAAACTATGGGCAAATATCAGGGAGAGGGTCCAAAAGTGCTTCAAATAAACAAGTTTTATAATAAAACTGCAATTATATGTAAAAGCAAGATGTGACTAAACAACTCCCTAATTAGCAATTAGTATTTGTAAGATAGTGTTACGCAATACCTTGTCCCGTTTGGTCAAGCATAAAAGTTCAAAATGTATTTGCTGATAGGATGCAAATTCGAGAGTCTTCTGAGTTCAACAACTTCACTGATTGTTCGATAAATGAGATCAAATGTAGAAGAAACATTAAGAAAATAAAATAATATCATTTCATATAGGTAGATTAAACTATTTAGTTCAAGCACTGTACTGTGCAATCAACATAAACAGCAATATAAGCAGAACAAAGTTTCCATATTCCCATTCTACTTGCAAGAAAACTTTCATGTGATGGTTACCATAACAAGATAATCCAACAAAATTTAATACAAAGAATCAAGAGAAGCCAAAACCAACAAATAAAAATACGTACCTCTTGAAGCATGGGTACAGCAGGACCTGTCTTTATCAGCCGAAAGTTAGTTTTCAATGCAACATAACTTTAGTACTAACAAATTCTCACAGCTGTGCAATTTGCTTTAGTTTTCACAACAGTCACTCGGTTATTTTTCTGCATGCAATTTGCCAAGTTGACATGTAGATGAATCAGACTTTCCAGCTTCGTACCATGTGGAAGAAAGTCTGATGTAACTTTTGGTTCTGTTCACCTGCATAAAAAAAACGTTAGTTTTTAAAGAGAATACTTATTTTAGAGGCTATATATACTGCAGTTTTTATGCATATCTTTTGATTGGTATATCAAGTACGAATACAAACTCTATGTATAGCTTCGTTTCAGTGACATAACATTTGCATTTTCGAAGCCTGAACCAGAAAGCTAAAGTGATAGTGAATGCAATTTTCTCATAAAAATGAAAGCCAATTGCTCCCCCAACATACATATCGATCTCAAGTTGAGCTACATGAAGAACGCCAGGGGCACTCTCTCCAGAGCCATCATGTACTTTTCTTTCTTTTTTTTATAGTTTCACAGCAAAAGGAGAGGAAATAGCTCATGTTGGTTGAAAAATAACATGCTGCACATAGTTTCCTTTAGACATGGAAAACGAGAAAAAATAGATTAAAAAAAAGACTTTAACTAATAGCTCAACAAGAAAATGACACTGACGACCATCCCAGATGATGACTGAGCACAACCCCTTTGGGTGGCACCTAGTGTACAAATATTGGCGTCGCATCAATATCTTTTCATCTTGAAGTGTCGTATGAACCTAATTATCCAGTTTACCCCTACCAATTATCGTAACATCATACCTTGTTCATAAACTCATATTGGAAAAACTTTCTGCAGCAAGACGCAATCCTAAACGTGGCATCATAACCATCTCACACGTCATGGACCATTTGCAAGAACGAACACACTATAGAAGTGAAATCATCAGTTGAAATGTTACATGATCATAAAATGTATTGAGATGTGACAATTACGGGTTACGTGCACATCATTAGTTACATTCCACCAACTCCAGAAACCGCGTAGCTACATGGCAAATGTAGCATCAACGATGTGGGCCTCAAGCCCACTCCTCAACTGATACAATGTTGACAGAGGTTATCCAACCATAGTCTTGTAACTTTCTCAATGTCTTCTCTGCTTAAAACATCCTAGAGCCTTCTAGGAAGCCCAGACTTAGACAACTTTTGAACAACATGATGAAAAGGTACTTGAACACGTCACTTAAATCTTTAAGTATCCCTTTTTGACATTCATCCGTATATTCTACATTCACCTATCCTTTAAATACTGAATCATCTTTTTTGAGAGAACCATTTCTGATCCAATTTTCACAAGGGAGTTCAAGATGAAGGTCAGTTTAAAGTCCTGTTGAGATGACAAGAAGCTCTAAGATGCAATATTTCTTACTTTTGTCTTGTGTTACAGTTCCTAGGTTGGATGCACCGTAAAGTCATGCAGAACAGCACAGAACTAATAGCAAACTCCAAAACAGGTAACTTACTTATGGGATATCATGTATCTTTGAAAAGTTTATAAAAAAATGGTCCCGTATCCTCTTTCTCCCTTCCTCACTTTGAATTAACTTGGGAGGCAACTAATTTGCCTTAGAACTGATTTGCCCAAACATAGACAAGTATAATCCAGCAGAAGTGTAAGCATATACATACTCATTTATGTTACTAACGGGACTGTAATCTCTGTTCTGATTTCAGGCAGCCCTTCGGCTTGTCTTTCAGTGCAGACAATGTTTGATGAGCACAGTTACTATGTAAAGCCTACAAATAGTTTCTCACACTCAAACATCAAATGTCAAAAATATTCAAAGTCAAACAGAATGGAAGCCAACAACATGGAAGAGCTCATCCAAGAAGAATCATTTGAGCCTTTTAACTTTCTTGCAATTGGAACCTTTGGTACGGAATTACTCAACACAGACCCGCCTACGCCAACATTTTCAATTCCCTTTGAAGAATCCACTAATAAACAGACGGGGATAATAGAAAATGATCTCAAGCTAATAAACTATGAGCTAGAGAAGTTTCTAGAAGCTCAAGAGAAAGAGATTGGCAATGATATGTCGGGGAGGGGAAACGATGCAAACACCATAACTCTCAGCAGTAAGCAACTTGAGGGAGCAGATTCTGAAGACCACATGTTCATGAAGACTTGTCCTCTTCAAAATTATTTGTTTGGTACTCCTGTTGAACTGGTTGAGACAGATAAAGAGGTACAGAGAGAGAAGACGTCTCTTGAAGAGCTCTTTAAGAGGAACAACATAATCCATGATGATTTTAAAACGAAATCTGACGCGGCAGAACAAAAACCAAAGAAGAAGGATGCAGCTTATTTCATGAAAAAGGTGGTGAAGAAATTCTATTCCTCGCCAAGCAGCTCAATGGCTTCTTCTAAAAGTGATGCTGCTGTATTACTTTCAATTAAAAAAAAACTCTCCAAGGTCAGTTTACTCTTATTGCAATGACCAAAACCTATCTATTAAAATTGGCCTTCCATTTTCTGTTCAGGTAAACATCAATTAACAAGGACTATTTATTTAATTAAATTGGTGAATGGAAGAAAATGTCCTAATTTGGGCATGTGCGTCAAGTTTCCGATATGTTCGTCAAAACATAGAACACAAATGGGACCACATCAAGTCCATAACAAAATCAGAAATGAATAAAATTGCAGAGTACACATCCTTAGAAAACAATGAATTAATATAGTAGTTAAGTTGTCACTTTCTGATGTGGTGGATGCAGGCTATAAAAAAGTTCCAAAGGAAGATTCACCCTGAAGAGATAAATGATAAACGATTTGTTAAGACGAAAAAGGGTGAGAATAAAAACATTTCTCATGCGGATGCTGGTCAGATCGGAGGAGACAACGAAGATATGATGGTTGATCAGGCCAACGGCAGAAAGGCTAAAAATGACACCCTCAAACTATATTCGGAAGATATCTTTAAAGGTGCGACAACAATCAATGGAGGGCACTGGATTAAGACGGATTCTGATTGTAAGTTATATGTGAAATTGTTACATTCCTAGTAGTTGAAGAACCATTAGATCTTTTCATACACTTGTCTAACACCCTTTTAACTTCATATTTTCACCTTTTTTTTTTGGGTATCTATACACTATAGATTTGGTCTTGGAGCTGTAGGGGCAGAACAGAAAAGCAAAGGCAACTAGCCCCATCCTGTTTGAGTGTCATCTCAAGTTTGCTTAAGTTCATAGCTTCATATCTTCAATAGTAAAGTGTGACTTTAATAAGCAAGAAAATAAAATAAAATAGGATTGTCACTGTGTGCTTTGTGGTGAAGTAAATGTGATAGCGGATGGTAATGCATGTATTTGATTGTTGATTTACAATTGATTTTCAGACTTTCAGTTCCTGAAAAAATCAGATACAATGTCAAGTACCAGAGCTGTTTCTGTTAAATGTATGAAATGAGTGTTCATTTTGAATGTCAACTTAGGCCAATTTAGTTGTTTTCAGTTTTTCCTTTTCAAGGGTTCAAACAGGTAAGTTTCATAAAAGAACATATCAAGAGAAACTAATGTTACCACTTTCCTCGGGAAACAGTATTTACTTTAACAGCCATACCTTAATTGCAGCGTCGTTAGTAAATTAGGTAGCGAGAAATATGAAATCAAACAGGAAGGCTTTCACTCTTCAATACTCCACCCATTTCCATCCTCCATGACTGGTCTACCAGTGATGCCAACTCCCTGAGGATATATTAATAGATCTAATCATCAACTTTTCAAAAACCTATGCATGAACAGAATAATATG